TCTCTACTCACACCTCCGCCTGTCGCTATGCAACTCCCGAGGTAAACAAAGCTTTTGACCACTTCCAGGGTAATGAGAACACCAAATAGCAAATAAGCTCGTTTTCAGTGCTACATCAACTGCCTAAATACAACACAATGTATAACAGATTAAAACAGATAGGGAGAGGAGACAAATATCTGCAAAGGAAATCAGAGTTTAAAAGAGATGAAGGATTGGTGACAATTGATGTTTGTGAGTGTGTATGTCTGTATGTATACGCGGAAAGTGAGATAGGTTGGTTGTGAATGGGTGGGTGAGTGAATGAGTGAGAGATCATGAACGGAGGTTACGTCAGCAGATTGTTAGTGGGTGATCATGGTAAGACCACCGTTCTTACAAACTGTTTCTGGGCGTACAAGGGTTGTGGAGACAGATGGCAATCGCCCAGGCTGTTGACGAAAATCTGAACTTGACCTCTTTGGATAACCTACAATAGACTGGATCGAAAGGACGGAAAGCCTCAATCACATTGACTGTGTGATAAGACTCAGTCGAATGGTTCGTAACTGCCGTCGCCCCGGTCCTTGTCAACCCCTGGTTCAACCAAACTGGGTGATGCTTCTTGATGCGGTCAGATAGACGCCTCGCCGTCTGACCTCATCGTCTATGGCAAAGTTGAAGAGAAACGGAGAGATAGGGCAACCCTGTCGCACACCACTGGTGACAGGAAATGGGGGTGAGTTCATCATAGGCCCTAACCTTCCCCGAGGTATGGCGATAGAGCGCTTTTAGGAGTAAAAACATGCTTCTCCATAGACAGTTCCACAGTGCGGGGCAATCGACAGAGTTGAAGGCCGCTCTGAAGTCCAAAAACACGACAATAGTTTGCCGTCTGTATGCGTGGCGGTGTTCTAGTAGCTGACGGAGGGTGAAGATTTGGCCTATGCAACCACGACGTGCACGAAATCTGGCCTGCTCCTCGTGGATTTGCTTCTCATGAAAGGGGCTTAATCTGCGTAATAAAACAGACGCTAGCAGCTTCGGCGCTATTGGAATCAGGCTTATGCCCCTGTGGTTGGAACAGGCGTTGTGACAGCCCTTCTTGTAGATGGGTGTGACAACCGATTATCCTCATGTGTGGGATACACTTTCGGTTTCCCAGATCTTCGAGAATAGTCCCACACGCTCTCTCATGAAAGCTTCTCGGTGTTTTCACACCCTCATACGAGGTCTGAGTCTGACTACTCTTGACTTTTATCCACCCATCGTCTAATTCAGCAAACAACGTTTGTCGTGACAATCTGTTTGGTGGCACGCGCAACACACGTGATGTTTGAACAACGATAGCCTATCTTTATCTCCTGTTTTCTCAATGATCAAGTCTCTGCGCAGTATTGCAGTTTCCAGTTTTCAAGTTCTTACAACCCTTTACCATGTGCCACCGTACAACGGTTTTGATTACCGACTTTACGGTCCCCACTTGCATAAAAGAGCAAAAGATTGGAATACTGCGAGCAGAGTCAATGGGAGGAGAGAATTCACCCAGACTACGGTTACAAGGATAATTAATAGATACGTGACCACCACTGTTTGCAACACTGGCACCAACTAGCAGAACTGACCGAACAGCTGTAGCATATGTTCGAACTCTCACGGAGACAGAAGGATGTCGCGACGATGTAAATGCCTATGCGTACCGGTTTGAGAACAAGTATGGTGCCAATGCGATGCGTTTGCACCAATGTTTGACGAAAAAGCATGCATTGTAGCTTAAAAACACTTGAAATGTAAATAACATCAATTGTTCTCTAACTCACGCGATATAAACCACCTTTCGTGACATCCGATCCACGATGCGCCTCCAGCCATTGGAATTCAGACTTGTCAATGAAGCTGCAGAGCCCCCTGAATCAGGTGTTGATGCTGAAACGGCAGAAGTGGCTAAGCGTTTTGCACTTAGCTCCGAGTGAGCCAAAGCGGTGTTGGAAGAACCGTGCGGTCTAGAACGTTTGGGATGTCTAGAACGCCCAGTGGAGTTGGTAGTAGCAGCCAGGAAGACTTCCGCAGCCTTGGAAACTGGTTGATGATTAGCCAAAGCAGCTGCATGTGCAGCTGCCGCATACGATGCCACAATTCGGTCTGGAGGACTCGTTTCCTTATTTGCCTTTGACGCATCATTGTTTTTGCCGTTGTTATTGCCCGTGGTTTGTGTCTCGTTACCCTCCGAGTTAGCAGGCTTGAAAAAATTGGAACGAAAAGTGAATATGAGTCTAGGGAGAGATAGAGCAATTCACTTCAACAGACAAAGTAAGCGAGCAAAGCACGAAGCGCGCGAACAGTGCTGGTACCGGCATCATTTGGGGAGTGGGGACAGGAGGGAGCAGGAGCGCAAGGAGGAACAATTAGGAACTGGATCACCACAAAGTGCAGATGCAAGTGCCACAAACAATAATTTGGACACATACGAATATGAACGGCAGCAAATCGCATGACAAGCACCTAACGAACCGGTTGAGGGAACCTCAGAACCAGTGAGGATAAGTAATCAACCAAGTACATGGGTAGGTTCAAAGTAAAAAAAATTGTGAGTGCTAGAGCGTTTTCGTTACCAGGTCGGGCGTACCAGGTTCAGTTGAGCTCAGCCGATGGACTAAAATCGTAAGGAAAGTAGAGATAGAATATCGAGGGCAGCATGAGATTAAGTAAACCATGCTTACGAATTGGGGTACGGAGGGGATGGCGTACGTACGCAAATGTGGTGAAAATTCTTTACAGACACATAAACGCGCGCTGAATGTGCACAAAAAGCTGGTCCGGATTCGATGACCGAGACGTGACGTAACGTGACGTGATTCGTACATAGAGGAGCTCGATCGACAGCATGCCCATTGGTTGCCAGGCTGCGAAAGCTCAACACCCGGTTAGTCACAGGCGCAGTAAAACATGCATGTGATACAACAATAACGGTGCTACAATAAAATAAACCCAGATGAAATATATAAGAGCCATAACGGAAAATGACGGCTGCACACCACTTCAGTATGGAAAACGAACACAAAGAACACATGTAAAGAGTTCACAGTGATTCAGAATTCACCTCAGAAATCGGTCACAAGGATGAATGTTAAAGTGAGCTTCCCTGGTTGATAGCGCACAAAGCAATACATCGAAGGAAAGTTTAGGCTTGTCTTCATAGCCATTGTAAAATTCATCACTGGAAAACAATTTTAGAATGAAAAATTTAACCCGAAAACAATCACCATTGGCACTTAAGTATTTGATGATATGCCTTATAAAACAGTGTTTCACAACAATCCGTTTCGTATATTTTAATTTCCTTAAAATAGCAAGTTTATTTGTATCACAGTACGGGAAGATCCATACACATTTGTCTCCTCTACAGGAAGTATTAGGTCCTGGAAATGAATCTTCACACACCTCGGCTTTCAAAGCCGAGAAGACAACTGTCTAAGTAAACGACAATATTAAAAAATGTACAAAATCACACCTAACTGCCAATGCAAACAGCGAAATCTGCGGCATCATGCAGAGATATGAAACCGATTATTAGCAAGCATTTGAAGTGACAGCGAATTATTTGTAAATAGGAACTCAAGAACGAACATAAGTCGTCGGGATCCAAAGATTTTGAGTAAGCTATTGTGGTTAATCAAATAAAAAGCATTGTTGGTCGCAGACGGACGGTTGTGAGAAGATATGATGCTAACGGTTCCGATTGTGACCATGATTACCCGTCAACACAAGAACTAAGTTCAACTAATTCAAAATAACCTGGCTATATATACAGGGAGTGAAAATACCGTATACCGCGGATCAGGTCAATCGAATTTTGATGCTTTTAGACAGAAACAAATTAAGCATTTTAGTCCGTTACCGTATGCCATAAATACTGTAGGAGGAATGAATGTTTTACTGATCTACTAATACACAATTTGTACATGGTTATCATCAATAGTAGCGTAACATGGAGGACAAAGTTAAACCTATCCATCCTACCTCATATTGTGTTCGATGTTATCTCACCCGTTTTTCATTTTGACTGATCAAATTCTAATTTACTGAGCTTGTTTGTCACCTTTTTTTCAAAACCTTTCTCTATGAGTTTCATCGTACGTGCGTAAACTTCATACGACAGCATCACCTTTTAGTTCCAATTACGTTGACGAGAGATACTCATTGCCTGACTCAAATCACCATTCAAAATCATTCATTAAAGTTGGGGGTTCGTCTACTGCAGAATGATGCAAGTACATTTTCCATCCATAGATACGAAAATACATGTAACTAATATTTAGGACCATAGATCCTGCACTCAATTTGGCCACCGAACTGTTGCCGATACTATCCTTCGTTTATCACTGTTAGTGTATGCCACTATAACTTTTCAGACAGACTATTGTCATGAACAGCTGAAGGAGCAGTGTCCACAGTTACAAGAACCTCCACTGGGCCACTGAACCTACGGAATTTGGAGTGGGAAACCACTTAAAGCCCCATTAGGATAGCCATGATGCTAACCCGATGTTTAATTATTGACCTTCTATCCTTAACCCCTTTCCAGGTCCGTTTTCGGTTGCTAAACCCCTGAAGATAAATATTTTGTCAGGCACCAAGGGTTGCAACCAAAAACCAGTGTAAGTGGTGTACCATCGCATAAATAACAAAATGTGAAACCGCGTCAACATCTGGATCTGGGGCCTTCAGGGTGAGTATTCTGATGCTTATCGGGCGAGGTGTTTCTTCCGTGCATCACGAGACGGTGAAGCTCGCTCAGTAGGTAAACCTGGAGTAGATACCGTAGCTAATGACAAAGTTGAAACCTAAATGATGGGTTGGATACCCGTCGGTAGTCGTTGATGGGTGGTGTGGCAAAGTGGTTTAGTCGCTGTCAACGGCGTGCTTTGGTCCCTATGGTCCGAGCCCTGCCACCTCCACCCAACTTTGGTGCTAGGGTAGCTTTGCTACCATCCAGTTCAAAACAACTAACCTAAACGGGCCTTATGTGGTCTGCCATTCCAAGTCCCGGAGCCTAGATTACCTATTTCCATCACTGAAGAGCAGGTTTTTGTGACTATGGCGTTAGCCCCATCTTCTGTTCATCACAGAAGTTTTCGTGATGAAAAAATCAGGTTCCAGGGTTCAGCCAGTGTTTGGAAGTGAAGCAACACCAAAGTGTTTGTTCATCATGTGTGTATATGCGCCAACTGAATGCGGTCTCTATGGACAAAGGAACAAGCTTTACAACAAACGCACCGAATTCATCCAACTGAGCGGTAGCTGTGATATACTTCACTGCCGTCTAGTTCAAAACTCCGAGTCCTGAGGCTTAGGTCGACGGTTTACAGGACTCAACAGGCGGCCGTCGTGACCATTCTGTCTTCCTAGGCTTTATGTTAATCCTTTGACTAATCGAACTACTTATTCTGTCTGTTGTTCCTCGTAGAAGAGTGTGTAACTAAAAGGGTGAAACGTATCGGAAGTCTACTTAGAAGGTGGTTTCGCTCCACCAACGTGGAGAACATAACGGTGACTACTTCAGTCGTATACAAAACATCGGTGTTTTTCATTCGGCAACAACTTTTGACAGCCCTCGACGGACGCCAACATGGTGGTCTGGTTGAACGGGTAAGGTTAACCAAGTTGAACACAGTTGGAAGCAACCGCTGGAGCAGCTCAGTCCAAAAGTGAAGGTTCTATCAGTTTCAGTTTGAGCAACCATCAACCATACTCCTTCGTGCGCCGGGTTGGATTGCGATCTTTTGGTTGGCCATTTGAATGTCCAGTAGGAGACAGACAAGAAAATTAAAAATATAATCGGAGAGAAAATTGAGAATTTCAGTGGTCTAAGGTTGCAAAGAAATTGAGATGCACGAACGCCACTGTTTGTGAATCCCAGCCATATCATTCAGTGTCTTTAAACATCGATTACGATGGTCCCGAGGTCCCCAACCAGGGAGCCTAACGAGACCTACGTGAGCCAGTCTCCTGGGTTTTCATACCCTCG